TTCGTAATTATAAATTTCCACAAAGGCCTGCGTTGGTCATCCTTGAATAATCAAAAATAAAGGAAAAAGAAATGCAGCGTCCATGATTTTATTTATATTTTTCTTTAAAAAATACGTTGTTAACTAAGTTTTCCCCTACGGCGCTTTTTTGTTAATCTACGACAATATTTTAGTAGATATAGCTCCCTGATAAAAAAATATGTCAGGTAAAAGTGTGACCGTTTTTGCAATATTTATATTTTTTGAATTTAAAAAAAAAAACCGTCCCTTTTCATGTATTTTCTTTAACTGCATATACAAACCAGGCTGTACTTAGTAAATTTTTTATGTAAAATCTTCTCCAATGGTCTAGGGTTTCTCAGCACGATTACTCGGAAATAACTTGGCTAGGCCTCATGTGCGTCCATAGACGTTAGAAAAGTTTGCTGAAAATCTGAGGCGCAAAAATTATTTAATATAAAATAGAATTTCTTTAAGAAACAAGTAGACATATTTACTTTGGAAAATTTCTTTTCTATTGAAAATGTTTCAATTGATGTAAATATTGTATATCAGCATAATATCTTTGCCTGTGCTTTATGAAATTTAATGTTAATGATGATTAAATATGTACCTATTAAAGCCATTTATCCTACTTCCCGCAGACTCGGAAACCACTTTTACGTCCAACGTGAACATACGCAGCGAAACTGGTGACGGTGGTGCCGTGAGCAATGGTGAGGCGGCTGGTTCTAGCGATGAAAATCGTTCGCTCCTACAACGTGGCAACTCCGATGAACAAAACGATAGGGATGAAAATGGTGGCGGTGAAACTGGGGCCACGTAGCAATTACTTAAAAAGCCAAAGAGCGAATAATAACGCCTACTCTCCGCTCCCTCCGACAGTGACAGTGATAGTGAATAAAACGCTTAGCAACCAGCGAGTAGTAATGCAAAACAAATTGAAAGTTATTATATTTTTTATTATACATAGATACATACATACATACTACGTACTTTAAATCATTCATATACATACATCCATACGAACATGCAAACATACATTTGTACG